CTGGGCTCGCCTCGAAATCCTGGTCAGGTGGCACCCCGAGTGAGGTCATGCCGCTGGCCACGACTTCCGCCCCCCCTCTTGGACGCCCCCCTCCCGGCCGCCGCCGAAGGGGTCTGGGGAGCAGCGGTATCGGTGCAGCACGGTTCCCCAGAGCCACCCCGAGATCCCGGCATCGCAGTTTTCGATCGCCGCGGTTTGTCGCCCGGTTGCGGGCCCCGGGGCCCCCACGGATCGATCGGGCTCGGAGAGTGGGTCAGGAAGACGGAGTTTGGGGCTCTGGTCGTGGTTTTCCTCGACGTCGCAGTGTGTTGGCCACGCCGGAAGTCATTCAGGAGGGGAAGAAACACACAGACACAATTAATCCTCGATTCCCCAGAAAATATGGGAAAATATGGGCAGTGGGGGGGAAGACAAAAACCCAGAAAATATGGGAAAATATGGGGACTATTTTTATTTGTGTGTATTTATTTGTGTGTCCTAATTTCCCTTTAGTCATGGCAGGCGAGCCCAGGGTCGGGATCGATCGTTCCCAGAGCGTTCTCTGAGCGCTCTGGGGCGGCTGCTGCGCCCGATTTGACCTCCGCCACCGCGGGATCTCCAGAGGTGTCCGACGTGTCCCGATCCGCTGTTGTCCCGCTCCTGGCTTCGTCTTGTCCCGGGATCGAGGATGGAGGGTCGAGTTTGCACGCCCGCGGCCGGAGCTGGCAAGCGTAGGTTCGCGGATCGCGCCCAGCGTGGGGAATCTGGGGACGGGAGGGAGGGAGGGAGGGAGGGGAAACCGAGGTCGGAGGATGGGGGGAATGGATGGAGGCAGGGAGGGATGGGGAAGAAGGGAGGGAGGGGGGGGGAGAAGAGAGGAGGATGGGTGACGGGAGAAGGGAGGGGAGGGAGATGGAGGGATGGGAGACAGGTAGGAGGGAGAGGGAGGGACGGGAGGGAATGGAGGGGAAGGGGAGGGAGGGGAAGGAGGGCGGGAAGGGAGGGAAGGGAGGGGAGGTGGAGGTAGGGAGGAGGGAAGGGAGGAGGGAAGGGAGGGAGTGAGGGAGGTGAGGTGGAAGGGGGAGGGGAGGGAAGGGAGGGAGGGAGGGAGGGAGGGGGACCGAGGCTCGCGGGCCGAGGGCCACTCGCACCCCAGGAGCCGGGGCCGCGGACCCCGCCGCCGAGGCCGCCGCGGCCGCCGCGGCCGCCGTGGAGCACGCGGCCGCAGCGGTGCGGGCCGTGGAGCAGCTGGCCGCGGAGGACCGCACACGCGCACGCACGCACACGCGCACGCACGCACGCACGCAGACACGCGCACACGCATTCACACACATTCACACACTCACACACACTCACGCAGAACCACACACAACACACACACACACGCACAACCACACACACACACACGCACAACCACACACAACACACTCAACACACACAACACACAACACACACAACACACACACACACGCATTCACGCACATAAGCACACACACACACGCACTACCACACGCACGCACGCACACACGCACAACCACACACAGCACACAATATAGAACACCGCCCCTCGGATGTTCCCAGGCCGGGGAGCCTCTTCGTGGCCGAGGGTCGCCGTGGCCAGAAGCGCCCCCTCCGTTCCGTTTTCAGCGCCGCCGCCGGGTACTGGCGCCCCTCTTCGCCACGAGGGGGCCGCGAGAGGGCCGCCCGCGCCCCCCCAGGGGCCACGGGGCTCACCGTGGCCTCGCGGGGGCGGGGGGTCTCCGAGGCGTGCTCTCGAGCACCGACAGGGCCGTGTCCTGGCCTGTCGGCGGCGCGCCGAGGGGGGGGAAGTTCGACGTTTTCTCTGTCGTCTTCGGCTCCTGGAGGAGGAGGAGGAAGGAGGAGGAGGAGGAGGGAGGAGGAGGAAAAGGAGGAGGAGGAGGAGGATGAGGAGGACATGAGGAGGAGGAGAAGGGTTTAGTCAGGCGTGTCCCACGAAAAATAAGAAAGTACTCAAACAATACTCCCACATGGTAAGAAATACTAAAAAATAGTCCCCACTTATTTTTTAAACTGTTTTTGAATATACCTCGTGTAGATGGACGAGCCCCACTTAAGAAAATGGGGAGGAGGAGGAGGAGGAGGAGGAGGAGGAGACGAGGAGGAGGAGGAGGAGGAGGAGGAGAAGGGGGAGGGGAGGAGAAGGAGGATGAGGAGAAGGAGAAGGAGACAGGAGAAGGAGAAGGAGAATGAGGAGGAGGAGGAGGAGGAGGAGGAGGAGGAGGAGGAGGAGGAGGGGGGGGAGGAGGGGGAGGCTCTCCAGCCTCGGGGGCTTTCGCGACGGTGGGGGGGTGGGGGAGTGGGTTGGGAGAGGGCAGCAGGCCCCCTCGGGAGGCGGCGGGGCCTCTTGGAGGCCCTTCGCCCGCCCGAGAAGCCTCCGTGGCCTCGGAGAAGGCCCTTGGCACGCTTCCTCACGGCAGGCCGGGTGCCTCCCGAGCCCAAGGCTCAGCGTCCCGAGGCCGGAAGAGCTCGGGCTCGTGCTAGACATCCTGGTGGAGGATGGGGAGGAGGAGGAGGAGGAGGAGGAGGAGGAGGAGGAGGAGGAGGAGGAGGAGGAGGAGGAGAAGGAGGAGGAGGAGAAGGAGGAGGAGGAGGTGGAGGAGAGAGGGAGGAGGAGAGAGGGAGGAGGAGGAGGAGGAGGAGGAGGAGGAGGAGGAGGAGGAGGAGGAGGAGGTGGAGGAGGAGGAGGAGGAGGAGGAGGAGGAGGTGTCGACAGGAGCCCGGGAGACGGACCGCTCGACGCAGGCCGGGTGCACGGAGAGTGCCTCAGGCTTTGAGGAGGAGCGGCTGCAGGCGGCCCGGATTAGTAGGTCGACCCTGCCAAGGCAAGGGTACCCTTGTGTCCTGTGTCTCGCGATGCCTGCTTTTTGCATTCCTGCGGCAATTGGGGCCCTCGGAAGGGTCTCGTGTCCTCTCGCGTGTCCTGCCCAATCGAGTCCGACTGTGCTCCTACCGCATGGGCCGTTCTCCGGGGCATGGCCACGGCGGTGCTTCGGCGAGGACACTCTCCGAGCACCTCTCGGCGGGCCGCGTGCCTCCCGAGCCCCTAGGATGGGCGCGCCGCCGGGCCACTGGCCCGGGTCCTCGTTGCGGGAGGCCGTGCTTCAAGGGCTCCTACGAGGACGCGAAGTTATTCGCGCTTCGCGCTTCGCGGTCCTCATTCCTTCTCCCCTCCTCCTCGTCCTCCTCTTCTCCCTTTGGGGGGTCGTCGCGAGAGCGCGAAGTTATTCGCGCTTCGCGCTTCGCGGAGCGCGAAGCGCGAAGTTGGGAGCCTTTGGTGCTTGGGCGCGAGAGGCCCAGGGGTCCTCGGCGGCGGGCGAGGGGGGGAGGGGAGGAGGGGCAGGCCTGCCCGGCCTCCCACCGTCGCCGGCCGACCTTTGCTCGCTCGCTCGCTCTGTCCCTCTCGGGACTTCTCTCGGGAGGCCTCGGGAGGCCTCCCGAGGAGTGTCTGGCTGCGTCGCTTCGGGGGAGGCCCGGAAGGCTTCTCGGGAGGCCAGGGGGCGGCTTCCGAGCCTGCCGAGGAGGCCCGCCCCCTCCCGTTGCCCCCCCTCGCGCGCCGCCGAGAGCAGCACCTCGGCCCACACCGTGCCGGAGAGGCCGTCCTGCCGCGGGCCGCCGCGGGATAGGCCCGCGGCTCGGCCCCTCGTGGCTCTGGTTTTCTCGGGCCGCGCCGTAGGTTTAAGTCGGGCGTGTCCCTCTACAGGAGGGAAATTCAGAAATAGGAAAATATAGTCAGGGGGCGATGTTTTGACTATTTTTGCCCATTCGGGGGGGGTATTTTTTTAGCATGTCTTAGTTTTCGCCCAAAACCCCACTGTAGGGGGACACGCCCGACTTGAGCGTAGGTCCAGGCTGGTCGATGCCTTCGGGGCCGAGGCTCGCCGCCGCCAGAAGCGAACCGCGACCCGCCCGCGATCCACTCTGCGACTCAGCCGCGATCCGCCCGCGGCCCGCCCCATGCCTGCCCCCTCCCTCTTATCTTTAGGCGGGCATGGCCCTCTGCAGGAGGAGTGTTCAAACAAGTCAACAACTAGTCAGGGAACGACTTTTCTATGATTGCTCGAGTTTGTGCGAGTTGTTTGAGTGATCATGTTTTTATTCGTTTCTGTCAATGAGTGTATGCAGATATATGTATGTACCTATATCGTGATGCATTTCTTTATGCATGTATGCATATATGTATGCATATGTTTGTATATATATATGCATGTATGTATCATGTAGTAAGTTATGTATGTACCTTTGATGTTTCAGTTATTTCTGAATGAATTTATGTATGCATGTATTGAATCTGGTGTTTAGTATATTTATTTATTGAGTTAGTTCATTATGTCTTTACTTATTGTAATATGTTTAAATTGTTTATTGTAATGTATATATATATATATATATATATAGTGCTACATCTATATAATCGTTCGTCCAAAATCCGGCTGAAGGGGGACATGCCCGACCTAACTCGTATCCGCGACTGCTGGGGGGCGCTTTCGAATTCCTTCGTGGCCGAGGCCCGCCGCGGCCCGAACAAAAAAGAAGACGAATAATAATAATAATAATAATCGTGATACTAATAATAATAGTAGTAGTAGTAGTAGTAGTAGTAGTAGTAGTAGTAGTAGTAGTAGTAGTAGTAGTAGTAGT